CCTGTCTCTAGGATCAATGGCTTGGCATAAGGTTCAGGGAAGAAGACCCTGACGGTCCAGGTCCAGGTCCAAGAACGGCCCAGGCGGCGGCACAAACACAGCGGATACGCAGCGCGCTGCAGGCCATAAAAATTTCAGTCAATAGGCCTCACAAGATCCGACTAGTCACGACGAGTATGGCCGACTCTTGTCTTGTGTGCCGTTCCCCTCATAGCCCGGCCCCCACACAAACACACGCACAAGACAACAACGGGCACGGAGCATTCAATAGCGTACGTAACTCATCAGATCTCAGTTTCTAAAGGCCTAACGTTGGTTTCTACACCATACATACACTGTCAGTCGCATTGACGAAATGCAGACGGGACGGGAGACTCCTGGGTGATCAACTTCTCTGTGGATTACGCTGCGGGGAAACGGCCGCAATTACTGACATGTCAAGCTACAAGATGCTTCATGTTGGCCCATACTTTTGCACTGCAACCCATACAAACGTGGACAGGGAGCTACATGCACAGGATGATAGCACAGCATAGCACAGTACGATACGGTCCACTGAATGCACGGCAAATCCGCCATTAGTTACTCGCCAAGCCCCTCTTTGGTCTCTTACGCTGTCTCATCAACTGGGCCCTCCGCGGTAGCCACGGACAAAATTACAGATGAGTACTAAGTCGCTTGCGAGGCCTTGGAAGAACAGATGGTGGTGTTACTGGCCGCACCACCCCGGCAAAGCTCAGCATGAGGTACTATTCGACGGGTTCGGAGTACGGCACATGGAAGAAAACACGGAGTTCAACAGAGACCAGCAGTGAGATACTGTGACCTCAGTTGGCCATACAGAACACCCCTGCGTGGTTTATGCAGAATCCAGCTCTTGTTGGTACCACCACTGCTGATCCTGTAGTTCTGACCCATTGCCGATTGGCGTTGACGCAAGGTGGATTTCTAGAAACGAAGGAGACCAAGAAATGAAGTGAGACCTTCACCCACCATTTTGGAATTGGTAATGCCAAACAGAGGATTTCACAGCCAACGATAGACCGTGCCTGGCGACAAGACAATGATTAGTACCAATGGCTCGGGGCACAGATGGTATCCTCTCACCCGCCGCTTTGCTGCATGGAATTCGATACGGAAATAGGAACTGCATTGAGAGAAGAGAAATGAGGAAACCCGTCCGATGACGATGAAGGCAAAAGATCCAACTGAGGACCCTCAAGGTAGAGCCCAGATGACCATCCTGGAGCCAAACACCCCCGTCATGGACGGGAGTTAATGCTCATAAGAAGCCGGAGGTCCCGTCCCGCTCGATACTTGGAAGTGAGCATTGTTACTGCAAGTCACTCGTTTGCTCATCTCAGCCCTACAAAACTACAGCTTGTCCCCCCTTTTAAACATACCATTGAGGCAAATCTCTTACTTTGGACGCGAGATTTTGACTGTTTAATCCTTTTCTGTTCTAATTGCCTGGGAAATTTGACCAGCTATACCATCCAACTCTGTCACCTGGAGCAAGTTATTATCTGCAGCCTCGCCGGCCACCGCAAAGCCAGAGCAACATCCCCCCGAATATAAGTCGACATAAACCATATCAACTCACCCCACGAACTACAATGCATCATCTGGAGACATCCCGTCGAAATGGCGCTGCAATGCGACCCAACACCGACACGAAAGTTGGTGCCAACTCGTCAGAACTTGTCAACCAAGCCAACGGAGTGTGCGAACACAATTCTGTTCACAACTGCAAAAATTTGGTTAAAGACGAAAGTGGCCTTTGCAGCATGTGCCAGGGTCCAAACCCATCATGCGGCTGAAGAATCTCTTTGCCGACCTTGGCTGGCCATCGTGTAAAACCTCGGTGATGGTTACACGACCTCAGGTCTTCTCTTAGCGCTCTGAATCGATCGGACAAGGCAAACATGAGAGAACATCTTGAGATAGGCTTGTAACCGACGCGACGGTTCGGATCATGCGGTATAGTAGACTGGTAGGGGTCTGCCTGTAGATACGCACACACACACTCACGCAATCATGTAAGACATCCATCTGTCTTGATGAAGAACCCAGCTAGAAATGGCCGTGGTTCCCACGTGCTGGGGCGTAACATTAGCAGGGTTCATTGGACGATCGGAAAGCATAATGCGGGAGGGGGTGAGGCTGATGGACTTGTAAGACAAGGCACAGACATGGACTGGAACCAGTGAGAGATCTCGACTTGACGACAGAGAGTGGGTGGAATTGGGGTACTTGTTTATTTTTATTTTTATTTTTTTAATTTTTTTTTATAGCGAAGTCAGCATAGGAAGAGACACGATTTACACGTCAACTACGATGGCATCTATCGATCTGTAATGCGGCCGTGGAAGTATGTTTCTAAATTCGCCTATGGAATCATAGTCTAGTAGATATCTATTAGTGCATTCTTTAGCCGCCGTGACCAACCTTTATGGCACTACGCCCGTACTAAAGCCACCTATGGTCTCTCATTAAGCGCTGTCAATCGACCACTGAATATGGTGCAAGCTCCGACCCGCCTCGCTAGTTGTAGTATCACAATGCTAGAGGAGATAGTGAATGACACGCAACCTTCAGAGACGGCCAAGAGACTCGGTGTTCCATGGGATGACATCCGTGTTGTCTGAGTGGTTCTCTTATTCGTAGTTAAAAGAAAATTGTGATGAGCGGCCATCAGTGGCAGATGTGATTCGTGCCATATCCTATCAAGTGGTCATTCACAGCATCTGCAACTCGATCCCTTGCCAAGCGTGATGCTGTCCTATGTAAAACCGAAAGGATGGAGATTCATGGATGAAGCAGGTTAACATCGGGCTCCGAAATGGACAATATATACGACTTACGCACGCATTCCGTAACTTGGAAGCAGTTTGGAACCGAATTGTGAGATTATCCCCGTCCCATTCCCTCCGAGATCGAAACCGTCCATGTCTTGATTGGATTGAGAACGAGATAATGAGACTAACCCTGAGTCTAATCCTCATAAAGTTTCTCTACCTCCTGTATGAAGGTGGCTGAGTCAAAACAGGCGAGATTTGCGAGACCAGGCTGTTTGTTGAGACTTGAGAATATGATGTTTTACTCATTCCTTGATAATCAAATAGTCTATTATTCTATGTATCGTGTATTTGACTATCCAAAAACGGTCAGTAATACACTTGGCTTCCCGCGGGTTTTGGCCGGGTGGCGTATTCCGGCGGACCGTCTGTAGGGCGTGGACCGGGCCGACAGTGAGAATTTCACTGAGTGAGATTTTATTACCTATATTTAATGATTAATAATACTAGTACGTCTACGCGTTGGTTCTCACTTGTGCCAGTTCTAGTAAGCTGCTCGCGATTATCACGACTCATGTCTCAGTGGCAAGAGTTGCATTGTATGATGCACGTATTATAAGCTGGTAACTGCGTATTGAGCAAATGCCCTTTTACGTGTTCCAAGCAGCCAAAACCTGCACGTCACCAGATGCGGCTCGGAGAGACCTACATTAGAGTAACCTCCCCTAGCAACAGAACGACTCAAGACAGCGCATATGCAGCCCGCCAGAAGCGTGTGATAATCTTCCTAATGCAGCAACTCAACTCCCGTCTTTTAGCCCGTGTTGATCAGCTGTACAGGCATAACAAGGTCTGCAAGTACACACACGAGAAATGACAAGGCTTGCATGGAGATGTAAGAAACTCCAAGACCTTGATCGTGAGTGACAGAAATACTCAGACAACTTTAGGATGTATCAGGAGGAACTTGGCAGGCTCGTTGACTAGTTATTTTCTACACCCCCGTCATAGGCCTAACTAAACTCTTCAATGCACCCCAACGGCTTGGTCCTGATGCTTTGGAGGCGATGTAAAATAGAGGCCAATGAGGTGAAGAAAGGAGGTCCACCAACGATAGTGAAAAAAAGGCCAATATTTTATCCAATTGTGGATATAATTGCCTCTAGAAAACCAAGGAACTTCGGCGAACTTTTCTATCTCTTTAGTTTACTTTTTACTTTTCTACCACGTGAGTAACGGTCTTGCAGTTGTGGATATATCCAGTTTTTCACTTTAGCTTGAGTTAATTAAATAGTCGCCGTTGGAGGAAAACGTCCTAAAGAGGCGAAAAGATGATGTTCCTTTTTTTCTTCTTTTTTTTTCTTCAACATGAGAATGCACTCTCACAAAGAGTGTGGTTACACGCATCTAATGCACAAAGTACGAGAGTCATGCCTCACACCAAAATGCAGAGAGTGAGAGACATGCAGACATACACTGCATACACTGCATACATATGCAGACATACCGATATGCAGACATCTACAGTATAGTACATTGCTATTATACTGTATTAAAGATCCAACCTCATTGGAGTTGATCACATTTGCTTGAATCTATACAAGGAACATGATAGAAACAGCTGACGTTTACAACCAACGACATACATTATCGAGTCAGGCCAAGAGAATAACGACATCCTACTAAGAGGTCGCCGCTGAGTCAGTATGCACAGGTAAGCAAAGAATCAGCTCGTTCGAGCAGGCGGTGCATCTACAATAGCTGATCACATAACCACGTAGCATATGCATAATAGTCAAGCACGTGTAAATAACTTGTCATGTGTCGTTTCGTGTCGAATTGGAATTCAATGACTCTATCAATGTGATGTGAACATAATTTTCTAACTCCTCAACATTCCGAGGCTTCCGCCTTCAAGCCCAGAACCAGACACCAAATGCGTACGCAGACAAAGTATACGTTACTGACACATGGTGCATTCAGAAACTCCGCGCTGGGTATTCCATGCGCTGCAAGGAATTTAATAGCTACACAGTAGCCAATCTCGAAAAGACACTGCCTCGCCGCTATAATCTCGCCTTCATAAAAATCTCCAAACGGCCATCCCCTAAGAAGAACAAGAAGGTATCATAAGAGAAGTGAAAAATAATTCATGCCTGCCAAGGGACAGGCTAGATCGTATAACCAAGTGGTTTAGTGCATCTAGAAGAGAGCAACCATGGCAGCGACCATGGCAGCACCGACGAAGCCTGAAGAGGCAATGAGACCACTGGCACCGGCGGTAGGCACAGTGGAAGGGCTAGGGGCCTCATAGCCAGGCTTTCCAGGGTTGGCGGGAACATCGGTACTGCTGCCAGGGACGGGGAGCTTGGTGGAAGTGTAAGAGCCAGGAGCAGTAGGGCCAGCCTTGGTGGTAGTGTTGCCAGCAGGGTAGAAGGTTGTCTTGGCAGAGGGAGCCTTCTTGGTGGTGCTGATGGTAGGAGTGCTGATGATAGTGGGAAGCTCGTGGCTGGTGGTGTTGACCACAGGCTCGTAGACGCTGGTGGTAGGGGGAACGTAGACAGAGGTGGTAGGAACCTCGGGCTCAGCAGTCGAAGTGGTAACAACAACCTCGGTCGAGGTTGTGGTACGAAGGGGGCAGTCGGTCACAGTAGGGTTGCACTGAGTAAGAGTGATAACCCGGGTAGTGGTTGAGGTGAGTGTTGTGGTATCCAGAGCAGGAGCAGGAGGAGCGTAGTCCTGAGCAGCGGCGACCGAGGCGCCAGCGGCGGCAATCATGATGCTGGAGAACTGCATTGTGATGGCGATTGTTGGTGGTTTGAAAAGAACTGTGGTGACTTTTTACGATATCGTAAGAGATTCTTGTTGCGTGGAGCAAAAAAAGACAGTAGGGTGCAGAGCACAAAGAATGTTATCAAGAATCGTTTAATGAGTGTATAGCACAAGGCTGGAAGATAGATATCGTGAAAAACAAGCGCACTTGAAGAGGTAAACAAGAGGAAACCAAACAAGGCGTCTAGGGCGGATACTGAGCGCAACTTGTAGTTTTCGCACACACTGCGGGACTTAATCTCTGTCCATTAAAGACCATCCATCCATCCACACCCTTGCCTGTCTAGCAGTCAGAGCCCTGGTGCGTTGTCACCTCATTAGCCCCCAACTTGATTGGCATTGTTCCCCGTACCTGGAAGTTTATGAGTTAGCCCCGGCATTGGGTCCAAATGGTTTTCGTCGGTACCACTACACAACGGTACCTTGCATTGCAGTCAGAAATGTGGACGGTGATTGGATCCAAAGACAGCCTAGAACCCGGTTGAGGATCGGGCAGAGCCTTGGCTACTGCACTTTTGACTGGCTTGTTCCTGAACTAGAGTGCTTACCCCAGTCTAGCTCTATTCTGGCCCCAGTCTGCTCCCTGTAAAGAAAGCATCGGTCACTGGCAAACTGTCTTCGGCTGCATACTGGGCCAATCAAAGCTTGCCAGGCTCGCAGGGACGTGTTTTGCTGGAGCCAGCAAAGAACATCTATTTTAGCATCTCCTCTTTTGCGTGGTTTGTTGTGTTATGACCAACTATCGTTGTTGTAGAAGTCGGTGTGGGTTCGTTGCCATGTCGCCTTCAATATTTGTGTTCATCGACAAAGCTGTCAGTCTAGATGAGTCAAGAGAGACAAAGAAAAATTTTCAGACCCAAGATCATTGTGCAACCCAGACTGTCCTCTGTAATGCGACTAACGGAGTTAACTGCAAAATTTGGTTGCATCGCTTGACACACAATTTCCCGGACCCATGGCGAGGACCAGAGCGTCTCATTGAACGTCCCACGATGCGGTGGCGTCGGCAAGGTTATGAAACGGCTTGCTACAGTGCCTCTGACGAGATGATTATTCCGCCACGCAAAGATAGGCTGGTGATGAGAGGCAAGTGAACTGCAAACCCATCTCAGACAAAGCCCTCGTGATGACTTGGCTTTGAGTGACTTCAGAGACAGTCACAGGTGCCTCAGTTAAAGTGCGTGCACAAGGCTTGAAACACTTAAAAACCCCTCCAGATCTTGAACTGGTGCCTACTGGCAGCCACACCGAGGGCCAAGGCCTAGTCCAGTTGAAGGGAGACTGTCTGACTGGCGAGTAAGGGGCGGGCCTTTCGTTATTGCGAGCGGCACGACTTGAGCCATAGTGGTACAATACTAGATGTGCAGCGGCTCTTGTTGCCAATGGGATAGTCCTGGCGCAGTGAATGGGTACACCGCATCAATGAGAAATACATATCATGCAAAAGAGCGGCGACTAGCCGATGGTACTCTAAAGTTGGATCTCGACTGCCATTCAAAATCGTGCCAAGATGCGACTATCATCTGCAGTGTCGGTAAATAAGGTATATTGAGAGTGGGGTCAACACGAAATTGTTATCCCCTGAGTGAAGGATATGGCTTCCTTTGTATTTGTCGGACGGCTTGGAGACGTGGGTAGTTGCTGGTGCAGACGGATTGGCTATCTTTAGCTCGATGGCTTGATCGAATTGAAGATCGCTTGGTCTCAAGTGGAAAATAAAGGAGTTTCAGGATATATCACGGGCAGATGGAAATGCCTTTCGCTGTCCATGCGTCGATAGTGGACGATTCTGAATCAAGATGGCGTCCGTAGTGTCCGTGGGTATCCGTCAATAGCGGCGAACAAATGACAACCTCCAGGCCCAGGGGTATTCGTTAAGGGGTTCTTCTAAGGGGGTTGATATACATTGTTGATGTTCAGTCGTTGATGGTAAAGAAGAGAATGATATTTTGAAACAACAAGAAGGAACCAAAGAATCTGAACAAAGATGAGAGGAAGAAGAAGAAAGGGAAGGAAGAACTGACGACATGGTGGAGAATCTCCTTCTATTCTTTCGTAATGCAGTTCAACAGCCTCACTCTAACATGATATCACTAACACGAGACATGCATCAGCCACATGAACGATACCTCAGTACCCAGATTGCACCTCCTGTTTGGCTATCTGAAAGAGTATTGCATCTTAAGTTGGCAATTTATTAGTAGAGGTAAAGAATCACAGTCACAAAACGCGTTTCTGAGATGTATTTCGAAACCCTTCTCATGCATTCAGGGGATCTTCCTGCAGCAACAGTTCCAAATGCCCCGCCCCCGCATCATACCTCCAACTTGGAGCGCTATAATTAAGGAGTTCGGTTCCCCTATTTCTGGGCGACCAAGTACTCCGCCTAGTATTTTATGAGACATGGTACCTACATCCCATGCTTACGTAGCTGAGATAGCTCCATTATCCCTACTACCGTTGCTTCGACAGTTGTCCAGAGAAACCCAACCACATTCCATAACTCCACCAGATAATGCGAATACCCTGACGAACAACGCATACTCTCTCTATCAAATCGAATCATACCAAACTCTTATTTAATATTTAATCCAACATGACCAACTATTTGAACGACCCCGCCCTCTATATTTACACCTCTTTGACAGCTGGCTCGTCCCACATCGTCACGGCCACCTCACGTCTCGAGACCATCCTACGTGCCAACCGAGTTCCCTTCAAAGCCATCGATATTGCCGTCGACACCAAGGCTCGTTTGCTATGGGGTCGAAGAGCCGGTAAAGACAAGAGCGGTCGCCCGAGGAAACTCCCTGCCCTGGTTCAGGAGGGTTGGGTTTTAGGCGTATGACAAACATCCCCTTTAGTACTACCATGGGTCGTATAGCTGATGCATGTGGCTTTTTGTAGGATTATGTTGAAATCGAAGAATGGAACGAATATGGGGAGCTCAAGGAGCATGTCACGATTTACTTCGACGAATTCACCATCCCTTCCATCAACGATAAACTTCCCGAACCCCCGCTAAAACGGCCCATCGACCTTACCGGCGGCCTTCTTGCTTCCATGACCCCTTCGCCTGTCGCCAAGGCTGTAGCAGCTGCAGCCGCCAGCGCCGCTGCAGCCCCAAAGCCTGCTCCTACTGCGCCTCCGTTACCAGCAGCTAAAGCTGCCGCGTCCTCTGCGACACCCAAGACTTCTACAGAACCTAAGAAGGAAGAGAAGACCCTACCTGTCCGATCCGTCGCCGACGAAGCTGCGCAAAAGGCTAAAGAACTTCGCCTGAAGACTCTGCGAGAAAAGGTTCATGGCAAGGATGGCGCGAAGACCAAGAAGGAGGAGACAGGCGCAAAGGAGACTGGAAAATCTAAGGAATCAGAAACTCCTGCCGCAAAGACCGATGGTATTCAATCACCAACATCCGGCTCATGGGCCGAGACTGATGCAGGACGAAACGCTGTTCAGAGCCCAACAAGTGGCACTTGGAAGGAAAGTGGTTCAGGCTCAATCTCCTCCTTGAAACGAGCCAGTGTGGAGGTGAGCCCAGACGAGGTCAAGGCCGTGGAAGCTAAGACGGCCATAAAGGAAGAGCCCGAATCGGAAAAGAAGGTTGAGACAAAGTCGGATGATGATGATTCGGACGACGATGAGGATGAGACCGAGGAGGAGGAGGAAACTGACGAGGATAGTGACGAGGATAGTGATGAGGATAGCGAAGAAGACAACGAAGCAGACGATGAGGAAGAAGACACGAAGAAGCCTGCGATAGCACCAGAACCCGACACTGCAACTGCAGAAACTGCCAAGGATGACAAGCCTCAAGAAGAGTCCAAGGACACCAAGAAAGAGATCAAGAAAGACTCCCACAAAGACTCCAAGAAAGACTCTAAAAAGGACCACAAGAAAGATGTCAAGAAAGACACCAAGAAATCGGTCAAGAAGGATCCTAAGAAGGACGCGAAGAAGGACGTGAAGAAAGATCCCAAGAAGGATGCCAAGAAAGATACTAAGAAGGACTCTAAGAAAGATACCAAGAAAGACACTAAGAAAGAGGTCAAGAAAGATGCCAAGAAATAAGAGCGATTTGGAGCATAAAGAATCAAGAATATCGCTTCAATGTTCTAGTCAGACGGGGAAATAATAGTGTACAGAGTCCAGTCAAACTCGACCGACATACCACCATGACATTAATAACAAAAAATACCCAATCTCCCCTCAAACACTCAATATACAAAAATGCTATAGAATGCCGTAATGTTCCATCCCCAACTAATACAATCCATCGTCATCGCTAGCTGTTCCATCTTGGAAACCCATTGGCGCCTTGCCTTTCCCCTTGGATCTGCCATTCATATCATCCACCTCGTCCTCTTCATCAAATTCGTCGTCACTTGTCAATGCGATTGCCTTGCCTTTGCCTTTGCCTGATCCTGAAGCAACCGCCTTACCCTTACCCTTTGATGATGTCGACGCCCCTGAGACTACACGTTGGACCGGAGGTGGTTTGTTATCCGGCTCTTTCTCTCGGACTCCCTCGAAGGTCGCCCGGACGTGCTCATAGTGAGCCAACTCGCCAGCACTGACACTAGGTACAAGCTCGTCATTAGCTGCGAGGAAGTCTTCTTCCTGGACCATGACAGCAATATCTTCAGGTGTAGCATAGTGGTCAAAATAATATGCTGTAGAAATAGGGTGTTGAGTCGCCGGATCCGCGTTGATGGCGCGAATCTTGTTATCCACTGCTGTGGCCTGTCGCGTGACGGCTTTAAGCATTGCATCACTGCAGAGGGCATAGAAATCGGCACCGGTATATGTGAAGGGGAGTTTCTCTGCCACAGAAGCAAGAGATACTGATGGATGTAGTGTGAATCTGCAAAGAGGTTAGCCACTGTTGGATTAGAGGAAAATGGTATAAACTCACTTTCTGGTCAGAGCTTCCAGAATGGTTTGCTGCTTGTCATTGGTAT